AAATAAAATAGAACTAGATGGATCACAAGCCACTAATCAAAAATAAATCCACAGATAAGAAATGACAAGTGGGAAATAACCACCAAAACACACAAAATTTAAAAATAATTACAAGAAAATATTTGCAGACCTCTCGATACCAGCATCTTAGGGTAATTGTAAATTATGTGTCTATTCCAACTTCTGATCCTACTAAAAGTGTAATCCAGTATATTGTCTCTCATAGCTCCAGTAATCAAGACAAGTACGGTACTGGTGAGGAACAGCCATCCAGATCAATATGCCAGAACAGAGAACCCAGGAACAGACCCAGAAGGTACACACAGCTGATGAGTGGCAATTACAAAAGTAACTCAGTGGAGGAAGCACAGCCTTGGCACCAAATGCTGCCAGAGTCCCATGGTATTCACAGGCGCGTGCGCGCGAGAGTGAGAGAGAGAGAGAGACAGAGAGAGAGAGAGAGAGAACCTTGATCTAAACCTCACACCTTATATGAAACTTAAAATGCAACATGAACTCAAATATAACATGTAAATCAATAAAATTTGGGGGAGGGAAGAGCACAGGAGATAATCTTTGAAAAATATCTAGGGCTAGGCAAAGACACCAAAAACACAACACATTTTTTAAAAAATGACACATTGGCCCTCATTAAGATTCAAAACTTTTGCTTTGTAAAAGAACCTGTTAAGTGGATGAACAGACAAGCTGCAGAGTGGGAGAAAGTGTCCTGCTCTATTCATAAGAGTCCCAGGCTACAAACAAGCAGGTGCTCTTCGACGGGTAGATGACTAAATGAACTGTGGCCACCTGTACCACGGAATGCAATGAAAAGGAATAAAATACGGGCCTGAGAAATAACTTGGATGAATTGCCAGGCGGTGATGCTGACTGAAAACAGCCCACACAAAAAGGTCACACGTACAATTCCATTTATGTGACATTCTTGTCATGATAAAGTGTTAGCGATGGAGAACAGATTGGGGAAGGGGTAGAGGTGGTAGGAGGCAGAGCTGGCTGGGAAGGGCCAGCCCCCGGGCACCTCATGGGAGTGGAGCTCTTCTGTGCTTGGACTCAATCAGTGGCATCATCCTGGCTGTGATCTTTCACTGTAGTTTGTCAAGATTTTACCAACAAGGAGGGTTTCTGCACGAAAGGCTCACAGAATGTCTCTGAATTATTTCTTACAACTACACATGAATCTATAATTATCTTGAAAGATAAAGGTTTAAAAAATTAATGAAAGCAAAAAGTATAGATAAAATGGAGCTAAAGTTTATCTGTTTCAACTATAGAATATCTAAAATGCCCTTTCAAAAATTAAATACAAAAATAAGCTAAAACATAGTCACAACATATACATCAGAACTGATTTCTGTAGATGCAAGAGAGCTTCTGAAAAATAGGAAAATTCATCTCTCAAGAGAAAGACAGAGGCAAAGGATATGAATGGAAAGTTTACAAAACAAATGCAAATATTCATTGCTTATACAAAAAAATTATCATCATCTCAGTAGAATTAATTAAAACAAAACATGAGTCTATTGTTAGCCAGCCAGATGAACCTTGAGTGTTCAAATGGCAGTGATGAGTTTCAGCAGAAAAATTCAATAAAATGCATGGAAAGCAACATTTCTGGACGCCAGCTTGTGAATATTTATCTGGATTCTTAAAACATCATTCATTTAGCCAGTTGTTCTATGTCAAAAAATTTACCTTCAATTATCAGAAATGAAACAAAGTTTTATCTGTAAAGATATTTATCACACCATAACAAGAAATAGCAAGGAACCTGAATGCCTCAGCATAAAATAAACCGGGATACATCTGCTTGTTGTAGGCACGGCTATTCTATTTTGGAAGGACAATTAGTGTCCTGCTAAGATGCTCACAATAGAGTGTAAAGAATAACAGGTAGGACACAGTGTGATTTAAAAGCTTTGCAAAAAAGAAATATGTAATCTATGGTAGGCAGGAGAAATGTAAGAAAACACACCACATTACCATCAGTGGCTATTTCTAGGTAGCAAAATTATAGGCTGCTTTTATATTTTATTCTTTTACATATTTTCCATTAAATACTTACCTACATCATGAGAGAAACAGTAATTTTTTAAAATATTCTGCAGTGTATATCACAGGAAGCCACCTTTTATGAAAGGAAATCTTTGAGTTAGATAAATCAAATTAGTACATTTGCAATTGCAAATTAGGCAATTCATGCAAATAAAGGCCTTACCACAATCAGTTAACCATTTCCTGGGAAAAAAACTGCTCTGATTTCTGCACAGTAAGGACCTGGCAAGAAGAATGGTCAGAGCTGGAAGAACTGGATCCAGGCAAAAGCAAGGAAAGGACTCTCTGACCACTCACCCCCTGACACATGCTTCCTCCAAGCAGATGCATGGGATTCACAAGGCTGGGGCTGCTCAGCTCTCGGGGAGACTGCCGGCAGTCTTGCCCAAGCTTTCTGAGGCCACTGAGTTCCTGACGGCCATGCTAGCTGCTCACCAAGTAACTGCACGCACACGCATGCGTGTTTCACACACTGCACACCAAATGCAAGACCTACGTGAAAAGTTCAGTGCACACATGCTTCACCCACCGGTGCTGCGCCTCAGGCACTTTACGTGTCCCAGGTGGAGCGGACAGTCAGGCAGACGCCGTGGTTATATTCTGAAGTGATGCTCGGGAAAGATCAGACTGGGGTTGCCCTAAAAACCTTATTTTTAAAACAATACTAACACCAGGCTTCCCATGCCTACCAGTGAGACCAACTGGTGTTGCAAAAGGCCATGAGGTTTTCCTGCTCCTGAAAGCCAGCCTAGGGGTTGTCAGGTCGTCGACGGGCCAGTATGGTACGCTTGGCCAACCGAAGAAGGGATGGAGGACATGAGAATGACGGCCTTCCTGCCTTGCGGAAGTTGGAGCCCAGCTTGAAGGAGGAGGCAGGGCTGGCACAGAGGGGGAACTGAGTCTCCTGCTGCCAGCCACTCAGCACGCTTGTCTCTGACCCCCTCTCTCGGCTATGCTCTGGGTCTGACCCTCATCAACCGTGGGGCAAAGATGACAAGATGTCAGTGTGTGGCAGGCCACCCTGCAAAGGCCACTGCTGTATTTGCTGTAATAAATGTTGTTCTTGTTAAGATAACTCTTGTTTAGCTGACAGGAGGATTCCTTTTAAGCTCAGCAGAGGCAGACAAGAGTCCAAACAGAAAGAAGTTGGTCAGGCATTAAGTTCTGAACCCTGTCCCTTAGCGGCGGGGTCAGCAATGTGCCCAGGGTCCCACCGGGGGACGCACGTTCAGTGTCCCCTGCGGCTCACACCTACATCACCCAGGAGTGTCACTCAAATGTATGCCTCAGCAACATTACCAAGTAAGACTAGGTTCTTACAAACTATAGAAATGGCCAATATAAAAAGTCTTGCAAAAGCCAGCGTGCTAGTGTTGAGAGAGTATGCTGTGTGTCCTCACCTGGGCATGACGGCCAGGGCTCTGTTCCCAAGCCAGCCCCAGGCAGCAATACCTAGCACAGAGATTGCTGCCTCCACTGGTTACAGGGTTCTCCGCCACTCAGCCAAAGCTGGGGCCCCAAATCTTTACCCGAGGCTGGTTCTGAGAACCATCATCACCCATACACCCAGTACGAGTGTACCAAGAACTCCACAGAAACCTTGCTCAACACCAAATGAAAGAAGTTCAGTTTAACAGCGCCATGTGACATGGGCTTCCGGCTTCTGTTCTGCCCACTCGCCTGTTTGCAATGTGCAGTGTGCCCCTCACACACAGGCATGCCGGCAGTCAGGGCCCCGGTGTGGCCTCAGCTCCTCCTAGAGCAGGCTCTCGTCCATAGGCACTGACTGCGCTCCCCCACCGAGGGCCTCGTCTCTGCGCAGTCCTCTTTAGAGGTGCCCACACAAGAGAGGGACGCTGCTGCCAGGCCTCCCCCAGCCGACCACCTGGCTTCAGTCTGCAGCGTCAAGAGGCCTTTGCTAGCAGGGACTCTGCAGTCCGGCAGGAGAAGGTCAGACCTGGTATGTGCCGTCCTCGTAGACAGGCAGGGCACAAGGGGACAGAGGACGGCCACATGGGATGCCTGGCAGGCCCACAGTCACTTCCCGACCCCCTGCCTCAACCCGAGTCACTCAGAATGTGTGAACCATCCTCTGTATTATGGAGCTAATTGCAGCAATACACTTTTTTCTTTTTTTTCTTTGAGACGGAGTCTCACTCTGTTGCTCAGGCTGGAGTGCAGTGGCGTGATCATCTCAGCTCACTGCAACCTCCACCTCCTGGGTTCAAGTGATTCTCCTGCCTCAGTTTCCTGAGTAGCTGGGACTACAAGTGTGTGCCGCCATGCCTGGCTAATTTTTGTAGTTTAGTACAGATGGGGTTTCACCATATTGGTCAGGCTGGTCTTGAACTCCTGACCACCCACCTCAGCCTCTCAAAGTTCTGGGATTACAAGCATGAGCCACTAAGCTGGGCCTTTTTTTTCTTCTTTTTCTTTTCCCTTTTTTCTCTTTTTTTTTTTTTTTTTTTTTTTTT